TGCTGCTGCTGCTGCTGCGGGGAAGAAGCGGAGCAGGCGGCGGGCGAGAGCGACGGGGCCGGGGTCTCCGCCGCCGGCGAGTGGGGCGCAGCTGCCAACCCGAGGATGGCCGCGCCGCCGGGCTACCCGCTCTCGGACCCGGGCTCCAACAGCGAGCGCAGCGCCGACTCGCCCCTGCCCAGCGACGGAGGAGGAGGAGGAGGCAGCGGCGGCTGCTCGGCCGGGCCCTCCCGCGCCGGCCCGGAGAGCCCTGAATGGGGCGAGGAGCGGTTCCGCGTGGACCGAAAGAAGCTGGAGGCCATGCTGCAAGGTGAGGCCGGCCGGAGCGAGACTTCCGCGGGAGGAAGGCAGCCCAGCGGGCGCCTCGGGGCTCTCACCACGTGGCGGGGGGGCGGCAAGGGGGCCGACGCCGCTGGCCGGCAGGAGGAGGCGACTGGTGGCCCCACAAGGCCGTGGGGGGAGCCGGTGGTGGCTCTTGGGTACAGGCGCTCCGGGGAGCCGAGAGTCCCCCCTTTCCTCACCAGTCAGAGAAACGCTGGGACCTTGTGTTGTGTATGTGTATGGGTGGGAGCATCCTTAGTGGCCCCTAACAAGGCGGCCGCGGGAGAGAGAGGGAAAGCGGTCTCTCCGCGTGGTCTCCTCTCCCTGGAGCTGCCAATTCCCGCCAACGCAGTGCAGGCTAAGAGCTGCCGAGCGGCGGTTTCTCAACGTTTGGCCCCGTTTAGCTTCCCGGAATCCTTGGTTCCCCTTCTGGGAAGGCGGTTGCTGAGAATTGGGCTGCCACCCGCCGGATGGCCAAGTGGTTGGGGGCGGCGGGATTCCTTCGGGGCTCGTTTTTCCCTGCCCAAGTTTGGGGGGGGGGCGATGGATAGAGGCGTTCAGAAGACCGGCTGATGCTCCAAGGTCAAGGAGCGTCCCGGGGTTCTGGCTTCCAGCGTTGGCCCTTGCTGTCAGATATGGGGAGGGGGACAAAACTTTGGGGGCAAATTCCGTTCTCTGCTCCAACTTTTGGTCGAGCTTCGGAACCTGTTTTCCTGCTACGGGAAGGCCCCGGGTTGCAACCGATGCCCCAAATTCGGCTTCCCTCCTCTCTCACCCCCACCACCAACAACCGGTAGTCTGCGGAGGGAGCTTGAAATAGTCCGCGGAGCGAGCACCCTGTGGAATAGACCGTTTTGCCCGTTGTTGTTTCTGCTTTCTTCTCTCCCCTCCCCCTTTCCCCAATTTTCCTTCCCCTCTAGCGTTCCCAATACATCCTGCCCCAGATGTGGATATGAAGATCCCTACAGATGTTTGTCTCATCAACTTGAGGAGGGGAGATTCCTTGGGAAATGGGCTGGGTCGGAGGGGGTGCCTGGCGTTTGTTTTGTTTTAAGGGTTTGAATCATTAAGGTTGTGCTTCACAACCCACAAGAGTTATGCATTTTGCTGGGGAGACCATCTGATCATCAAGGTTCTGCACTATGGGAGTTGCCAAAAAGATATCCAATGTCAGAAGAAGAAGAAAAGCCTAGAATTTTGAGTCACTGGAAAAGGAAAGGAACTCTGGGAAGACTAATCTATGTCAATAGCAGCGCCAGCCTCAATTTTGGGAAATTAAAGCTGATATGATCTTAAAGCAGAATCTTCTTCGAAGTCCAGCCACCCTTTCCTTCAGGGTCACTTGGAGAGAGTGCCTGGCTAAATCCAAATTGGCCATTTAGATTTCAGTTGAGAAAGGTTTGACTCCTATTTTTGGATACTGGGCATGCTGAGGCTTGTTTGACCAGACGATTAAATGGATATTGCAGAATTTACACTTCAGGCAAGGCAGCCGCAAAAGGCCATCAACATTGTAATGCATCTTTGCACATCTGAAAAAGTGCTTAATAGCAAAATGCCCCACTTTTGGAATCTAGAGTTTAAGATTAAATTTTTAGCAGCCAGTTCGTCTGTACTTTTCTTCTTAGCAAGGCCCATTCGGGTTGTTTGCTGTCCACTCCATTAGCAAATGGGCTTTTTTGCACATGAAAATTAATAAGACTTGGACAAATCATCCAGTACAGATAATTCTGTCCAAAGTGGAAGGTCATTTGGATTGGGTGCATTCCACTTGATTTTAAAAATTATGCAGGTTTCAGGGCTTGATGGGAAATGGTTGAAGATTTGCTGCAAATGTGACCTCATAACTGCTTATGATTACACTGGAATGCCTTAAATTCAGTTCTGTTTTGAATTAAATTGCTTCTGCTAGAATGTGAAGGAAATTGTTTGAATGGAATATGTTCAACTGCTTTGCATAGAAGTAGATGTGCAGATCAGAAATAGTTTGTGTGCACTGCATAATCTTAGAATAAGTAATTTTTAAAAAAATGAAAATCAGTTTTGATTTATAAACTGGACCAAACAAGAAACTTAAGAGTTTGGGGCATTTGGGATGTAAATCAGGATCAAAATATAGTTTTGAAAAATAAATACTGGAGTTGAGGAAACTCATGTTCTGGTCAGGATTTTGCTGATCTACAGAACTTTCCCGCTTCATTCAATATGGACTTTCTGGCTTTATGTAGACCAGCCACCTCTAGTTTTGTGCCCCCCAGGTTTGTCGGTGTTCCAGGACAGGATGAATATCTAGAGATAAGTGATCCTGAAACTATGATTCTTTATTTCATTGTGATTTCTAAAATAGTTACATTATTATGATACATAAACCTTTTAACACACAATAAGAGTTATGGCTCTGCAGACATGCACAATTATTTGTATAAATAGACCTTTGGAAGCTGTATTGAATTACTTAGACAGCTATATATG